GGGGGTTGTTTGTTTTTGTTTTGATTTGCTTTCTATGACCTTTTGTTTTGTTTTAGTCGAGGTTTTACGGCGCTTGCAACTGCGTAAGGTCATATGAACGTCAGAATGATCAGAGGTGTTACAAGAGAGTAACAAACATAAAAAAGAAGATGGGGAGATAAGAATGATACATGTTTAATAGGAAAGAAGAATCAAACCACTCCAGATCACCCGCCAGCCACCCACTCTATGACCTTCAAAGTCTGTGATGAAGTAGGTCCTGTCTGGGAGGAGGTTCCACTAGCTAACAAAAGACTTATTATTCATTTCTCATTCACACCATGTTCCTAAAAAGATGTCTTTCGTAACAACGTTCTACCTGCTACGCCAACTACGAAGTTCTATAGTAAGACAAAATGGAAACCTGTTTAAAGGCCACAGATCCTAAAATGATGGCGGAATTCCTGGATGGACAGATCCAGTTATATTGATTCATCTTGCAGATAAATAAACATGAGTAAATGTAGACCATAACTTTTCACTATCAATTCAACTTACATTTGGTTTTATAAGAGCAAAAAAACTAAAAACAACAACCCATAAATCTGTCATGGAAATAACGTCGCTTCTTCAATTCAGCATAAGTCCATTTGTTCATGTGGTTGTCTTATATAGGTGGCTCTAAGAGCAGGTTAAGCTTTATTTTTAATTAAGAAGAGACAGAAAATGATTATCTTGACAAAATTGTTATGGATTTTAATACCAATGGTTTATAGGTTGATGTAACTCACCATAATTAACCTCGCCCTACGAAATCTACTGGTATTTATTTTAAAAAGAAACATAAGATACACACCGAAAAAAAAACTAACATAAAAAAACACATGTACAAACAAAAACCAAACAAAACAATGTAGGGGGGTCCGTACTCACCATAAGTCCAACAAAGATGGCGATGCCTCGGCCACAGTAAGTATTAGGCACTATGTCTCCATAGCCAATGGAGAGGAACGTTATTGCAATCATCCACATCGAGTTGAGGATGTTCGCATGCTGGGTCTCGTGGTGGCTGGAGTGAGAGACAAGGATCATATAGGTTAGATGTTGTACACACACATACCCACACATACACATACACATGCACACTTACACACACGCGCACACACACACTTACACATACGGACATTCACATACATACACACACACACATATATACATACACACACACACAC